AAATTTTTAAAACGGACTATGCAAGCACAAAGAAGCCAGAGTGATGACGCCATCACAGGTCACGCAGCTTTGGAGGAGCGCCCCTGGGCTCTCATGAGAAAGCGTGTGCAAGGCAGAGGACGTCCTAGTTTACTATGCAGATTGTAGTGACCTCAAGGACTCCAGAAAGCGTCTTGGGGAGCCCCAGGGTCCCTGGAGCACACTTTGAGAACTGCTGCTGTGGGGAAATGATCCCAAACCCCCTCAAGGAAGAGGGTACTGGAGCCTTTTATGATCTTCCTGGTTAAACAGCCTCTTGTGTATACCAGTGTCCGTCAGTTGAGCCCTTCTGCCCTCCCCAATCCCAGCCCACTCACCTGGACACGGCGCTGCCTGTAGCCCCAGTGTCTAGCTCCGTTCCCGCTGAGGGTTCTACCCCACTGCCACGACTCGCTGATTGTGCTGGTCTGGGGGGTGATGGTCTGAATTAGTGCAGGATAGATAGTCTTCTTCAAGATCTCAGCTGCTCAGAGCCACACAGCTGAGACGGATGTGTGCTGAGCGTGACACCAGCTTTCTAAGTTAGTTAAAGGAGGTTAACCTGGATCGAGGGGCAGCCATAGTCACGTAGGGAAATGGGCCTGGGTGAGCGTTTGAGACTTGACCCCAGCACTCTGCCGTTGACCCAACGCCTTTGTCTTGGTGGTGGTCACAGTGGGGCCAGCATGGTGTCATGGAAACCTAGCTGAGCCTTTGCTCTGTGGGGCAGGTCATGTAACCGGAGGGGAATAACCTGGCCCACCCACCTTCCCAGGATGTAGCAGGGTAATTTATAGGGTAACGTCACAGCTGACTGTCCAGTGAGGGTTGGAATCACCGTGGATGACTCATGGAGTCATGCTTATGACTCTGACCATTTATATAACTCAGACTGTTCACGACGGACACAAAGGCCACACTGTCACACTTTCCGTTGAGGGAAAGGATGACACAAAGAGGGGTGGGCCCTCTGATGAGTGTGTGCATGTGTGTTTGCGGAGGAGGCGGGGACAGCTTGTAGATGAGCAGGTTTATTCCATGAGAATTGAACCGGCAGTTCTTTCCTCTCAGGGAGCTAGTCTGACACTGTCCAGCGGGTTGGGCAGGGGCTGACGCCCACTGGAGGGTTAACCAGAACTGGCCTGAGCAGGGCCGTCCTGGCCGGGGAAGCCGGTGATGGAGAACAGGCTCTGCTAGGCCAGGGCTCTTGGGCTGGAGTCTGCAAGCCTGGCACTCACTTCTGAAGATGAATGGCCTGGCCCGGCCCCGACTGGAGGCGTGCATCTCTTATCTGCACTGTTACAGTGTAGGTTCAGAAGGGGATGGGGCGTGCGGGCTCTGAGGTGACGGGTGTGTCTGATGGAGCTAGTTTAGGGAGACAGGCAGCGAGAGGCTCACAAATGCACCCAGGTGGGAGAAACTTCACCCTACCACTGGGCAAAAGGAAGGAAGGTAAATGAATGTTCATTTGTGATGTTAAAATAGCATAATTTTATGTGGTTGCTTCAGAAATATTTAGAGGGATTTTTATAGTTTGGATTTTTTTGGTGACTTCATCATTTAGTAGAGTAAATATCTATAAAATTCCAATTAAACGGTGTCTAAAAGCAGCAGTCTACAGGCAAAGCGCCATTTCTTTTTTTAAAAAAATATTTGTGATAACATCTAGCATTTAAAAATCAACCAGAAACTAGGCTTGATTCTGTTTAATACTTTCTATGATTGGACATCTTAAATCAATGTTTATATTTTATAGCAATTCTGTGTTTATTCAACAACATGATTCTGTGATGTTAATGGAATGACTTTATATGGCTTTAACTGTGTTGGTGTAAGTGCTATGACCACATTTCAAATTAAAATAGTATTTTGCTGATAGCGGTAGACACAGATATGGAACATGAAAGAATACACAATTTTACTGATTGTGAAGTGTTTATTTCAAGAAAAAAAATGTGTTGTTTTTTTTTAAGTTGTGAAAAATGACTTTTTTCCCAAGGCTGTAAGGTAGTTTTCTGCATTTGGGGGGATCGGAACTTGTGCCTGCGGCATTTGTGGAGCAGTCTCAGCTACCTTTTAGCTCGATGTGTGCTGGAAAATTTCACCATCATGTTTTGTGATATGTAATACATTCAGGGTGCTGTGTTTAAGCTTCGTTTCCACTCAAGTTTCAGACACCCACCCCCTGTGCATCCCACCCACCTGTCCTTCCCCAGATCCCACACGGAAGAAGTCAGTCCCCGACTCGTAGACGGTGTGTTTCTTCCTGCGTGGAGCAAGCAAAATGTAATCGTGACTTCTAAGCCTTGCTTCCCTGTGTGGGAAGAGCGACGCTTTCTCCCCTCCTTCAGTGTCTCTTTAATAAACATGTTGTCATTATTTGTCTTTGGAAATGGCCTCTGGGGCCACCTCTCAACTTTCTCCATGATTTATGTCGCAAACGAGCGCTCTGTCCTGTGTCTGCCCGCTGCACTCTCCGACTCTGGTGTATCATTGACAGCGTGCTGGAGACAGTTTCTGTTGTTATTATGCAATTATGTTCTATGTGTGTTTCAGTGAAATGTCAACCCATCAACAGAGGATGATGTTAAAAATTATCCAAATAAATAGTTTTCTATTTCTTTTAATCAGACCTAGTGCAATCAGTTGTATGGCAGTGAACAGGATATGTGTTATACTTAAACTCAGTGTTCCTGGCCCATGCTGCCTTGTAATGTGGATTAATATACGTCATGTAACAGGGGGTGTTGACTCAGTGTGTTGTCACCTATGTTTATTTTGTGGGGACAGCAAGTGTCTCACCTGCTCTCTTCTTATTTGGGAACCTCAAATCTGCAGCAGCCCTTTCTCCCCCGGGATCCAGAATCAGCCTTGAACCCTGGATAACTTATCTTCCCTTGATAATTGTGCCCTAGAAAATGCTGAATGAATGAACCATAGGCTGTTGAATACTGCTGGGCTCGGCCTTTCTGCACGTGCCTGCAACTCTGCTGTGTACGCGCTTTCGCCACTTGACATGAGACTCGCCTTCTCGATGTTTCCGTGGGAATGGCAAGTGGGTCCCCCTCCAAGCCAGATGATTCCCTGGGCTCAGACATGCTGGACCTGGGGATCCTGAGAGAGGGGAAGTGTGTGTGTGTGTGTGTTCGTGTGCATGTGTGGACATGTGTGCATGCATGTGTGTGTGTATGTGCATCTTGTACCTGTGACCAGAGGGCAGGAGAGGGAGTGGCAGCCTCACTGATACACCATGAACTATTCTGAGTTTGGCTCTGGGACATGTGTGTCTCTCCCCACAGCATGCCTGGCTAGGAAACTGAAAGCTTGGGCTCTGGGTGCCGCCCCCCCCCCCCCCCCCCCGCCCCAGTCCATGAAACGGAAAGACCTGCCGATCCTCTATTCAAAGCCTGGTTCAGAGCAGACCCAGCGGGGTGCCACCTTCCCAGGCTCCTCTCCTAGGCCGGGTGCTATTATGGAGGAGGCCATTTTTGAAAGAGCCTGTTGGGAAGCGTCCGTTCAACTTTACGTTCTAAATTAACGTCGCCACCATCGGCGTCTACAAAGACCAGTCTGAGCATTTCCCACAGCAGGGGGCCCAGCCCTGCTGGATCTGCCCACCATCCCTTCCCTGCCGTGGCCACTGCTCGACGTGTCTCCCGTGTGATCGTCACACTTTGTCTATGTTCTATGCCCATCCACTGCTGGGGGCCTGGAGAAAAGACAGGAAGTGATCTCCTCTCCTGACAACCCACACTTGGTCCCATCCTTCTCTGCAGATGCCCTGACACTGGCGTGTTAGCTACAGGGGGAGACCCGCACAGCCTCTATGGCTGCTTAGTCTGTAGGCTGGCAGCAAATGGGGGGGGTGTCACCAGGTGCACACAGGTGGCCTTAGACCTGGGGAAGGGAGGAAATGCCTCTTTCAGATGTAAGTCTTTTTGTGGAAAAGGACACACGAGCTTCCCTGTCCCTATGAGTCTTTGAGTTAGCATGCTATTTTTCTTCAAAGTGATGGTCAAAACATAATTTTCTCAGAGCCAGTGACTGTACCTTTCACATACGTGGTCTATAAGCATCCTGAATGTTTCCCTAAAGAAGTTGGCAGTGATGGAAAGGCTTCTGCCAGGCCCTGTCCCAATGCCACCAGCACCCATCATAAGGAAGGCCAGCGGTGAGGGCATCAGGGAGAGGCGGAGTGTCTGTGAGGGGCCTGGGTGTCAGCCGATGGGTCTGCACGGCGTCCAGAGGCTGGTGAGCCATGCCCGTGTGCTGTGGCTTTGAGAGGATGACTCAGCTGTTGGCAAGTTGTCAGCCTGAGCACGGGCTGCAGGCCAGGGCCCCAGAGATGGCCGCCGAGGCTGGCACTGCACAGCGGCCCAGGTCTGTGTGCATGTGGGTCCGTCCGTCACGTTCTGAGTGCTGCGGTTGCGGTGTGTTGTGTCACTCCCTTGTTTCCATGCCTTTGTAGCAGAACCAGGGGCCCCAGGGGCCCCGATGGCTGCTTGGTCTGCTTGCCCTCTGGCACTTGCCCCTAGGCGTCCTCGTCCTGGAACAGCCAGTGAGTCCGTGCCCCCTCCCTGTAGAACACCAGGCTGGGCTCCCTGCCCTGCTGGGTCTGGGCGACAGCACTCCCCAGGACACCCTGCTGTTGACTGTCATTTCGACACGGGCGTGGGCTCTTGGCCCTGACAGACCAAGTACTAGTAACCAGGCACTGTTCCCTGCAAATGGGCGTATTTGGAAAGGAGTTTCCTAGGTTGGGCCTCCAGCATCCCAGGCTAGGACCACCTTGAACCCCGACCACATCTAAAAAGCAGAGGCTGCAGGGACTCCTTCAGTTATATTCCAACAGTGCTCAGTTTCCCAGCTGCCCTTGGGGGAGCCCTTCCCCTCTCAGCTGAATCAGGCAGGAGCGAAGCCAGGCCTGCCGGGCCCAGGGCCCCCGTGCTGTCTAATCTGTGTTGCTGTTTCCATTGGCCTAGGCGGGGCTGAGGACGCTGCACGACATCGGGCCGGAGATCCGGCGGGCTATATCATGTGACCTGCAGGAGGATGAGCCCGAGGAAGCGAAAGGAGAAGAAGAAGATGTATTCAAAGTAATTATTCCACGCACAGCTACACACTGGCTGCTTGGAAATAGTGGGGCAGGGCTCCAGTTTGGGCAGTTAATGAGCCACAAAAGAGCCTGGAAAATGCCAGCCAGCCCCAGAGCGTAGGGGGCTCTCAGACCAAGCCCTCCCCCAGCAGACCCTCCCCATCCATTCACCGGCCCTCCCCAAACTTGTTCCTCTGCCCCACACTGGCAGCTTCCGGGAGCTCGGCCACCGCTGCTGTCGATGTGGACGAGCATCCTGGGTGCTCCTGCAGCTCCCCGCCCGTGCTGCTCCCTTCTCCCCTGGCCCAGGGGTCGTGCCTCCCACCCAACCTCAGCCACTGGGGCTGCCAAGCAGCCTTCTGGGTATAAGTCATCTCAACTCGGAGCAACTGGAAGAGCATACTCAAGTGACCACCAAGAGCTGCCCCCTTGCTCAGGAATCGGTAACCTTCCTCGTTTCAGGGGGACCAGCTGCCACGCAGACACACTCACCCTGATCCCTGAGGCCCTCAGATCATTTTCCAGGGATCCTCTGGAGCTTACCTAGAATTTGTTTTTCGGGTAGAAAAAAAAAATGACCTGACATAGCTAGCCTGCATCAAATACTTGTTAAATTACCTGGTGTTGTCTCCCATTATTTTGCAGAGAAATGGTGCCCTGCTTGGAAACCATGTCAATCATGTTAATAGTGATAGGAGAGATTCCCTTCAGCAGACCAATACCACCCACCGTCCCCTGCATGTCCAAAGGCCTTCAGTTCCATCTGCAAGCGATACTGAGAAACCGCTGTTTCCTCCAGCAGGAAATCCGGTGTGTCATAGCCATCATAACCATAATTCCATAGGAAAGCAAGTTCCCAGCTCAACCAATGCCAATCTCAATAATGCCAATATGTCCAAAGCTGCCCCTGGAAAGCGGCCCAGCATTGGGAACCTTGAGCATGTGTCTGAAAATGGGCATCATTCCTCCCACAAGCATGACCATGAGCCTCAAAGAAGGTCCAGTATTAAAAGGTAACCTTTCAAATTTGTTGGCACTTGGCAGTGTTGTATCTGCCCCTCACCCCCATGCTTGGGCACCTGCAGGAGATTCCCAGTAGACATTTGCGATTGAACCTGTGAGTGCCTCGAGGTCATGGCCTCTCCGTGATGACCCTGAAGGGCAAAGGGCCGTCGGCCTTCCTGTATCCTGCTGAATGAGATAGTCCTTCTAAGGGCAGCAGGTGCAGACTCCACCCTCCCCATCTGTGCCAGCAGACGCTGGGACAGGGGCTGGCAAACCTTTTCCGTGAAGGGCTAGATGGTAGACCGTTCGGCTCTGAGCACCATCCAGTCCATTGCAGTCGCAGACAGTATGTTCAGCGCACGGGTACGGCTGTGTCGCAATAAAACTTGATTTTTGGACACTGAAATGTGAGCTTCATATAGTCACAGGTGATGCAGTATTTTTCTTTCTTTGATGATTTTCAATCCTTTAAAAACTGTCAAAACCACGCATAGCTCGTGGGCCATACAGAGACAGGTGGCAGCCTGTGTTTGTCCTGCGACCCGGAGTTTGCCAGCCCCGCTCTAGGTAGGAGCCTGGTAGCTGCATTTTAAATTTCTTTGGAAATATGTAACTTTTATCTTCTCCCTCCCTCCCTTGTTATGCCTTTCCTGGATAGAACCCGCTATTATGAAGCTTACATTAGGTACGTGCTCACTGCCTGTGTCAATGTGTTCCATACTGTGTGTTGTAAGTGTGACCAATGGCCTTTCTGAATGCTGAGAGATGAGAAGTTCCTCTGAGCCAACTGCAATATTATAGCTCAGGGCCGTGGACTCAGGAGCAAGGGGTAGTGGATTCTTTCTGCATAGACGGGACCACCCAAGGGCTAATATTCACGTGCCACGTGCTCGTGGACTAGCCCCTGCAGACCACGGGACAGCACAGGGAGAGCCTGCTGTGCCCGGTGCCCGGGCCTGTGACACTGGGCAATGGCTGCTGCCTTCTGGGGTCAGGCCTCTCGTGGGGCTTTGGAGAGAGCATGGCCGCAGTCTCCTGGAGACCAGGGCCAGGCCCTCTCCTTTGCCTCCCAAGCGACCCTCAATGTATTCCACGTTTGCTGAACCAGGGGCAGTGGTGGGCAGGATGGTGGTTTTGGTGGTGGTGGGTCTGCTGATTTAATTCTGTTGAGTGAAGTCTGGCGCCACAGGTCAGGGAGAGAATAAAGAACCTGGAGGGAGTGCAGTCCTCTCTGGACAGAGTGGTGTCACGGTGCTTGGTGGTTCTCCTGAGGACCCAGGCCAGACAGCCAGGCTTCAGGGGGGCACTCCGACAGGCAGGGGCAGGGGCAGTCTTGGAAACTTGGCAGGCAGCATGCACGAGAGTCTCCTCTGGGACACTGTTTCCACACCTCCTGTCACCCTGTCTGGGTTGGATGCAGTGGGAAGTTGGTGGTAAGGGAGTCTCTCTCTTCCTGGCTCCTTCCAGGTAGGAAGGAGCAGGGATCAGAGCAGATGGCCTGGGAGCCCAGAGTCTTTTCCTGGGCCTGCCAATCACTTCAGGTCTCCAGGTCCGTTTTCTTGCTGTTTCCTAAATGGTATCTACTCCTATGGCTCCAAGGCCCCTGGGCATAGTGGTCTGGCCCCAGCATCTAGCAAGGTACTGAGAGAGAAACCCCTCCTTGTGTGTGCACACACACAATTGCGCGAGCATGCACACACTCTCACACATGCACACACGCACATTCACACGCTCACACTCACATGCATGCACACTCACACGCACACAATGCACACATGTGCAAGCACACACTCGCGCACACACACATGCTCACACACACACACTCTCACGCACACACACTCACACACCGTTGGCAGGTGCACATGGGGCAGGATGCTGGCCGCGTGCAGAGGCACGGCTGCAGGAAGTGTCTGCTGCCCGCCCAGGTGCTGACGTCCGTTCCCCCGACTGCAGGTCCGACTCGGGAGATGAGCATTTCCCAACTATTTGCCGGGAAGACCCGGAGGTGCACGGCTACTTCAGGGACGCCCGCTGCTCGGGGGAGCCGGAGTACTTCAGTGGCGAGGAGGACAGCTCGCCAGCCTCCAGCAGGTGAGGGCTCTGCGCTCGGCTGGCATCGGAGGCCTGGCAGTTGCCTGTCCCTTGTGCTCTGCCTGTTCCTGAAGCCACGGGCCAGCTGCCCCTCGCTCGGGACTGCCCTGGAAAGTAACCAGAGGAGAAGTCCGAGCAGGAGCGAGAGGGCCAGAGTGGAGACCGTTCTTCTGACTGTCGACTCATTTCCACCACGGGCCTGTGAGGCCTGTTAGTGAAGGTCCAGAAACAAGAGCCGGGCCTGCCTCATGGAGGGCTCGCTCGTGCCCACAGTCCCTTGCTCTCGGAGAGATCTGTTTTAATTCCTTGGCGCTGAGCTGGGGCTCTGTCTGTGAGCAGCTGTGCCAGCCCACAGCGGGGGTGGGGCCTCAACGAACCTGTTCCCCACTCTCATCAAGGGGTCCCTCAGCAGAGCTGCCTCTCCAGCCTTCTGTCCTCAAGAAAGAATGCATGAGGCTAAAGGGGACACTTTGCTCTAGGACACATAGTGGGCAGCATGGGGACAAAGGCCACCTACCATCCCCTTCTCAGTAAATTTCCTCTCACCATGACCAGGCGGCCCATTGACGGGGACACGGTAGTGCTGGGAGGTCCCTTCTGGTGTCTGAGCTCTTAGTAACAGCTGGCCTCGTAGTCCAGGCCAGCACAGCCAGACCTCATCCCCTGCCCTCCACCCGGTCCCGCCAGCGCCCCTCAGCCTGCCTTCCAGAACCACTGGTTCTGACCAGGTGGATCCTGGCTGTCCTTCGTACCATTGCACACACCACGTCCACGCTTGGACACCCTTTCCCAGCTCTGCTGGCCCGACTCCACCCTCCCTTTAAGGACCTGCCCTAGGGCTGTGCTTCTCATTCCCTGGTTGACATGGAAATGGCCATCCCCCCAAATTCACAGACCCCACCCTGGGCCCCTCTCCTGGTGCTGACCTTTCCCATCTCCGTGCATGTGGTATTTGCTGAGCCCTGGAGGGCAGGGGCCATGCGTCACGCATCTTCGAGTCCCTGGTTCCTAGCACAGCGCGTGCGTAGGGCAGGCACGCAAGGGTGGCCCTCCAGGAGGAAGTGGGCGGGTGGTGGTCACGCCTGCAGGAGATCTGCCATCCACATCTGTCCAGGGTCTGAGCTGCCCTGGCATGGGGGAACCACCCCCTTCATCACAGGCCTGTGTCCTGAGCCTCGCTGCAGCAGCCCTTGCCGACCCCTGGGATCTGGTGAAGCTAGTCCTACTGCGCCCCGGCGGTGGGGCGAGGGCTGGGGCGGTGGGAGCGTCTGAGCCCCTGGAAAGGACTTGTTACCTGGGAGCTCACATGCCTCTTCCTGTCTCTCTCGGCCTTCGGGCCTCCAGGCTGAACTACAGCTACTACGGCCGAGACCCCGGCAGCAGCGTGGACTTCCGGCGGCCCCGAGGCTACCGTCACCCCCAAGGCTTCTGGGAGGACGATGACTCGCCCATTTGCTACAATTCCCAGAGATCTCCCAGAAGACGCCTACTACCTCCCACCCCAACATGTGAGGCTAGATTTTTTGTTTGGGGTGAAACCCCCCAGAGAACAGCCCCTCCCCAGCCCGGGGTGGGGAGTGTGGTGCTGCCCTGTCCTCAGGCCCAGCCCCGGATAGAGAGGCGATCAGCTTTCCCCTTCCTCACCTGAACCCCCGCGTTAGCGCTCAGACCACCTGGGCGCTGTGCTGGGCCCTGAGACAGTGCGGCCACGGGGTTGCCCAGGTGGAGACTCTGACGGGGGCTGTCTGCACGGTCCCACTCCCCTGAGAGAGGGGCAGGGCACGCCATTGCTGCTGTCGGGCCCGCTCCGGGGATGGGGGACTGCCCTCGGGGAGCGGTCTGAGTGGGGTCTTTCCCAAGGCCCAGCCTCCGAGAGCCGTCCGTCCTCAGGCCACAGCAGGGTGTCTCGTGTCCTTCTCTGACCTCCTCCCCCTCATCCTTGCTCTGGCCTGGCCCTCTGCTCACAGGGCGGGCTTGGCCTTAGGGGGGGCTCGAGGGTAGGCGCTCCCGCCTGGGGCCCTGGAATCCCATCCTGCTGGGCAGGGCAGGGCTGGCGCTGCCTCACCTGGTTTTCCTGTGCAGGTGGCACAGCTGGTGCTGCCAGAGATCAGGGTTCTCCCAGAGAAAGCGAGGCGGCCGCGGCCCTGCCAGCTCCTGGCTGGGCAGTGTGACTGTGGACATGGGGCATTCGGATGACGGTTAGAGTATCCACTCTGGTGTTTCTGAGGGATGAAGCATATTTGCGAGCAGGACTCTAATCAGCTCCCCCCAAATAGCCAAGATACATCCGCGCCCCAGTCTGCCGAGTGCATGCGCAGTAATGATTGTGGCGGGTGGGGCCCGGGGCCCTCTCTCCAGCTGTCACACCCCTGCTGGGGACGGCAGTCAGACCCATTTCCGTGGTTAATATTTAATTTTGCAGCCCTAAACCTGCAGCGCATTTCTGGTCTCCATAAATACTAGATGATGCCCATCGAGGCGGGGCTGGGCGAGGCCCACGCAGACGCGTCCACTGCCCTCCTCGGGCCTCCTTGCAGCGGCGGCGTTAATACCCGCCGTGCCCGGTGCCGCCTCAGGAGGTGGGGAGCCTGAGGGGGCAAGGGCAGCTGCCCTCTATCTGTAAGGGCAAATAAACGAATGTTTGATTTGCTCTGCTGCCTGTAGGCTCAGACCTTGGGCAGGGAGAGCATGGACCTCCGTAGCACGGTTCTCAGCTTCAGGAGGAGGATTTCCTCCAGCAGAGGTGCTTGTGACCTAACGAGATGAAGGATGTGTGGGGACCCACTGTCAGCACTGAAAGGAAGAGAGAGAGAGAGAGAGAGAGAGAGAGAGAGGCGTGGTTTTCCTTCCCTGAGCCTGGACCCTGCCATCTGACCCTAGGATTGTCCTAGAGGCTGTGCTGCCGAGGGAGGCCCATCCTCCTGCGAACACTTAAATCCAGCCCCTGCGTGGTGCAGGGAGGGTGGGCTGTCTGGTGAGGACGGCAGCCATGGGCTCAACTCCGGGAGCCCCAGCGTGCCCCACAGTGCGCAGTGGACCTGCGGCCCAGGAGTGTGGTCTGTCTTGTTCCTCCCCGTCGGGCAGTGGCTGGCCGGGTCTTCGTGCAGTTGGAGCAGGGCCTCGCAGGCCCAGGATGCCCGTGAGGCCTCCCTGGCCTGGCGTCCAGTTTCCAGTACAGGGATTTAGGCGTGTGGTGTTTTTAGCATGCCGGGAGCTTAGAAGGCAGAGGTCAAGAAAGAAGCTATTGAGGCAACTTGGCCATTCACTGTCTTGCAAACTACCAGTAGGGCTCCTGACATGTCTCTGCCTTCCTGCGGGAGGCCTCTGGCCTGTGCTGGGGGACCCCCAGACCAGATGGACCTCCCAGGCCCGGTGCCCTGTGAAGCCACAAGCTCTGGATCTCTTGTTGTCGCTCAGCCTGTGTATCAGCCTCTATGCAGAGTGGCTGTTAACAGGCCAGCCATGTTCGTTGAAGTTAGAGGGGCTCCTTTTTGTTCTGTCTTCAGTGCGAGAGAGCAGGGTCTTTCCCAACAAAACTTTTCTCATGACCTGGTTGAGCTGACAGGGCAGGTAGCAGGTCACTCCCTTTAGGCAGAGCTTTAAACACAGGAGCACCTGCGAGCTACCTCGGGCCCCAGAGACTCTTAGGTTGTCTGGAAGGTGAGAAGGGGCATCAGCAAGTGCCCGGGAGATTCTAGAAGGAGGTGATGGCCTTGCCTGAAAGGCTGTCCCCACAACCCGTTGGGCAGCGGCTGCGACCGAACAGCTGCCCTCTGGACGCCTTCGGCTCCTGCCCCGAGAACAGGCATTTACGGGAAATCTCCTTACACTTTTCACAAACACGCCTCAGTTGGCTTCTTCCTCATCCTCCCTCCAAAGATCTGAGCCCGCGCTGCCTGATGCTTTTTCTTGGGCGAATCGCTTGCTGCTCCTGGCCCCCTGCTGAACGTCCCGAGTCCCCCCCCCCCCCCAGCCAGAGAACTCGGTTCACAACTGCTTGTGTGCTTTGCCTTCTCAGCCCACCGGAGGTCCTCCTTCAACTTCGAGTGCCTGGGCCGGCAGAGCAGCCAGGAGGAGGCCCCACCGTCCCCCACCTTCCCCCACCGCACCGCCCTGCCCCTGCACCTGATGCAGCAACAGGTGAGCCGCGCCCTGGCCCCGACCCCGAGGCTCCATGGGCACCCTGTGGGGGACCCACCCTCAGGACACCCTCTTCCCGTTGGCTGCCAGCACCAGGGGCAGCCGGAGAGGACCTTCACATTCACTGGGGTTCAGTTGTGTAACAACCCTGCAAGTAGATACTATTCACAAACCCCACTGTATGGAGGAGCAACATCAGAGAGGGCAGGTGAGGGCCCGAGCTCACACAGGAGGTGAGTGGCCAAGTCGGCATTGCCACCTGCAAAAGCTGGGCCCTCGGCCTGGGTGCAGTCTTCTCCCCCACGTTCCTCCTCAGCACTGGGCCTGGTACAATTCCCGATGCAGGAAGTGGTGGCCAGTAGACTGACCCGAACCTCAGCAGTGCCCTCCCTTTGCTCTGAGGGCTTGTTCCTTTGTTTGCAGAGTTCTCTGTGGGCAGGGCCCTGTTTCACAGGGGTGGGCACACCCCCAACCCTGCCTGCAAGGGGAGTACGGTCCAGGGAGAAGGACCTGTCCACAGTGAGGGACAGGGCTTTGCCTCAAGGCCACAGATGACGTCTTTCTGAAAAGGGCACATCAGAGCTGCTGTCCACCTGTGTGTGCTGGGGAGGGGCGTCGGGGAGGGGCGTGGGGAGGGGGCGTGGGGGGCATCGGGGAGGGGCCTCGGGGAGCACCGCCTTCAGCGGGGCGCTCGGCTGCAAGTTTGCAGAGCCCGTTCTCCAGACAGGGTTCGTATCTGGAGCATTTGAAGCACAGGAACAGTAGCTGCCATTCCAGATTGTCTGTTTTTCTTCTTTATTGTTGAAAGTATTGCAGATATCCTCCTATTTTCCCAATTGACCCCCTCCTCCATTTCAGATTTTCTGTGTATCTTTTTTACCAGCTTTTGACTCTTCTGCCTTCATTTTTAACGCTCCTTTGATTTGTGTCCTGGGCCACCAAATGCCAGGACTGAGTAGACATGCAAGTCTCCGTGGGCATGTGTGTGAAAACGCCTTCCCTCTGTGGCCTGCCCCCCACCAGGCCCAGGCCCTGTCCGCGTGCCTCCCGGGGGCAGGCAGGCTTCTGCTTTGGCCCCAGGTCTGGCTCTCAGGCTCCCTGTGCAGAGCTGGATGCTGAGGTGGACCTGCGGGAAGCCACTGGAGGTGGGAGAAGCCAGGCCTGTACCCAGTGCCCAGGACAGGCAGGGTCGGCCGTGGGGTACGTTGCACTGGAGGAGAGAGCAGCCGTGTTTCCCTGTGAGCTGGGCACCATTAGTGTGCCCCGAGGCCCTTCGTATTTAACCCAGAGTGAGCTGCGTGGCTGGTGCATACACCCCAGCTTGTACGTCCTCCCTGACACTTCGTCCTTCTGAGGCGAGTCCGTGAATGAGCGGCTAAGGCCTACTTGGGAGCAGTTGTAGGAAATGCATGATGACTTTGGGGGAAAAGAGAATACCGCCTGCGGGAAAGCCAGGTTTTACTGCCAATTCACTGGCCGTCCTCGGTGCGCGCTCACGGGCCTGTCCGAGGCTGCCCTGCAGAGCAGTGCCTCATGCTGGGCCGTCCTGGGGAGGCCTAGACCCCTGAGCACCTCTGGTCTCCCCGCTCCTCTTCTCCTCAGATCATGGCCGTTGCAGGCCTCGATTCCAGTAAAGCCCAGAAGTACTCGCCCAGCCACTCAGCCCGGTCCTGGGCCACCCCTCCAGCGACGCCCCCGTACCGGGACTGGATGCCCTGCTACACGCCCCTGATCCAGGTGGAGCAGCCAGAGGCCCTGGACCAGGTCAACGGCAGCCTGCCGTCCCTGCATCGCAGCTCCTGGTACACGGACGAGCCTGGCATCTCCTATCGGACTTTCACACCAGCCAGCCTGACTGTCCCCAGCAGCTTCCACAACAAAAACAGCGACAAGCAGAGGAGTGCAGACAGCTTGGTGGAGGCAGTGAGTATGGCTCCCCCGTGTGCCCAGGAAGGGTGGGCGCCGCAGGGTGGTGTCTGAGAGCCACCCAGCGCAGGCGCCACCCAGAGCAGGGGCGGGCAGGTCCAGGGCCGGGCCGCCTTGCTTCGGATCCCGACAGGCCCACGTCTTAGAAGCAAGGACGGTACCCAAAGCATGAGTGTAGAACCAGCGCCGCTCTGAGTCCCCTGTGTAGCTGTACTTAGGGTCACGAGTGCTGTTCCTGTAGCCACGAGCAGTTTGTAGTATGAGGTTCTTCCCCAGTGGGATTCATTCTCGCTGGGCTTCGTATAGTGTTGGCTTCATGCTCTTTCAAAGCCAGAGCATAGCCATGTCCACTGACAGGTAGTTACCATGTATGAGATCTAGCGAACATGACTGGCTGTGTCATGAAGTTAGTGCTTGAAGTGGCTTTTCTGTCCTTGTTCCCCTCAAAGCCCCGTGATGCATGCATTGACCCTCTTTTCTGTGCAGGTCCTGATATCCGAAGGCTTAGGACGGTATGCAAGGGACCCAAAATTTGTGTCAGCAACGAAACATGAAATCGCCGATGCCTGTGACCTAACCATCGACGAGATGGAGAGTGCAGCCAGCACCTTGCTTAATGGGACCGTGCACCCCCGGGCCAATGGGGACGTGGGCCCCGTGTCCAGCCGACAGGACTATGAGCTCCAGGACTTCGGGCCAGGCTACAGCGATGAAGAGCCGGACCCCGGGAGGGAGGAGGAGGACCTGGCAGATGAAATGATATGCATCACCACCCTGTAGCCCGCAGGGAGGGCAGACTGGCTCTGCCCGCAGGTGGGGCGCCGAAGGCCAGGGAAAAGTGCCTCGTAGTTAGGACAGTGTAGGCACTAGCGTGAAGTCCATGTTCAGTTAGACGTTTGTACAAGTGATGTCATGCCTCGAGGAAGCCATAAACCTGGTAGGACCAGCTGTGCTCTCACGCTGAGCCCCAGCTGCAGAAACAGCAGGTCCAGCCCGCTCCCGGAGGACGGGCGCCGGACAAGCCTGCCTCTTGTTCTGAGCCCACGCAGGGCGCTCGCCCATGCCCCCCCGCCCACGGGCACGGTGGGGAAGGTTAAAGGTGATGACTATCACCATACCTGTGTCATTACCTCAGCCGTCAGTCTAGCATATCAGACGTTCACTGGGCCCAGCATATCCATTTTTAAACCCTTCCCTCCCAAATGCACTGCTTCCTGGCTCCTGCTCTGAAATCCAGTAAGTCAGGGCCTACCTACCAGCTGTCATCGGAGAGGGAAGCAGGACCTTACAAGCAAGGTTTTCTGTTCCGTGACACCAGTTTACACGAGAGCGCATCACTCAGATGGTCGCTTTCTGACTGTCGGGCTAAGGGCAACTGTAAACTGGAGTAATAATGCACTCGCAACCAGGTCAACTTAGATATGCTAGTTTGTTTAAAAATTATAGACTTACTGTACATGACTTGTAATATACGATAATTTGTATTTGTAAAGAGATGGTCTATATTTTGTAATTATTGTACCGTATTTGAACTGCAGCAATATCCATGGGTCCTAACAATTATAGTTCCCCACTGAAATCGAGATGCTATTGGTCTTTTTACCGGGACTAAACAGAAGTCGGAGAAATAGAGCCAATTCTCATTTATTCTGTGAAAATCTTTTGAGCGTAAAATTTTAAGTTCAGTAGAACTTGACACTACAGAGATTTTTCTAAAATATTTTGGGTCACTGTAAATCTGTCTTTACACGAGGTTATACCGCTGACTGCGGTCTCTCCCCTGGGCAAGAGCTCTGCGATTTGACAGCGCCCCCTTTGCTCCAGTGTGGGTTGCAGCCGTCTTCTGTTTGACTTGAACCCCCTTTCCTGTAAGTTCATGACAGGACCAGGTGGAGCTGCTTACTCTGACCCTGTGGCATTCATAGTGGTGGGTCTTCTCACCTGCCCCCGCAGGACCTGTTTGCAGGTGAATGAAGGCCCTCTGCTCCCGTTCCCTGGGCAATGGTGATGCTGCTTGTCTTAAGAAATAAGTAGGGCTTGCTGGGGAAGAGGACGGAGGGAGCAAAGGGGTGTGATCCTCTGCAGAATTAGAAGGTCCGGGTCTGGACAAATCGTATTGTTGCCTTTTCACAAAACATTGCTGTACTGTGTGTTCTCTCTGAGGGCTTTTATATGCAACTGAATGAGGGCTGACGTTTTCACTAGAATGCACTCCCACTCGGATTGTACTTCCTGAGGAAAACCCACTTTGGGATCATTACACCCACCAAGGCTTCCTTTTCTGTTCACAGAATTATGCCGACTTGGTCAAGTTACCTAGGCAGGGATCCCTGCATTCAAAAAAACAGGTAGCAATTTTGGGTTCAAAATTTTAAAATATGACATAGACCACCTGTTAATATGGTTTTTTGTTTTGTTTTTTTTTTTTTTTGTAAATAACAATACTTTGTTATGAAGACTTTACAAACCTCTTCTTAAGACATTCTTACTCCAGATCCAGGCAAAAGCTCAAGGTTTGTCAATGACTCTTTCCTGACGTAAATTCTTTTTTATTAAAATGTAAAATGTTCTTCAGAATAAAATTGTGTAATAATTTTATTGTATTTGGGAGCTCTCCTTGCCCAGAGCTGGTGTTTGCCAGTGAGAGCTTTGGAAGGGGCGGGGCACTCTGTGAGGACAGTTCTGTCATTGTGTAGATTTTTTCTTATTCTCGTCACTCCTTTGATGCCTACAGTAACCTAATACCAGCTGCAGAGAGCACTGTTCCTCAAGGGCTAAACCACTGTTACCATCACCTCGAACTGTTTCTCTTCTAGGTATTGGTCTTACTGTGTGGGTTAACATTGCCAGTTCAACACTGCCTACCAGGACCGACTTTTCTGGTATAGGCAATGATGTTTTCCAGTCAGTACTTAAAAAACTGGTATTTTTATAGGCTGCACCATTCCTGATATCTGTCTGCTTTAAGCCTGGTTCAACCTCTCACCTAACATTAAATTTTTCTTTGTAAGAAAAATTTGAAGTTGTAGAGCATGTTTTTTTTTCCTTTGTTTTAGGAACGTTTTATGATTAAATGTCTTTCCTTTTGGTTCCCCTTCCACCCTCTAAAAAGGGTTGCTTTGTTGTGCCCCCAGGAATAGTACATTTAATTTGTGTTTTTTGTAAGATCACAGAATGAAAAGGGGAGCCCTGGTTTAACTATCGATGAGCAAGAACCTCGTTAACAGCTGTCTCTGTGATTTCCAGCCAGACGTGGCCAGGGGGAGCTTCCCAGCTCCCTTCCAAGATGTTTCAGTGTCGCCCAAGGCCAGGAGGTGGATTGTGAAGGCCCCGGAAGCATCTCAGTGCACAGTGTGGGCTTGACGTGCTGGACAAGCCCACGTCATCGCTGGCCCCACACAGGTGAAAGAAACCAGGGCAGTTTATTTCATGTTGTTTGTTTGATCTTTATTATTATTATGGATGTCCCCCTTTCCCCCCTGTGCCCCCCTCTACCCAGTTCCCACCCTAGCCCTTCACCACCCTATTGTCTGTGTCCATAAGCAATGCATATGTGCATATAAGTTCTTTGGTTCATCTCTTCCCGTACCACCGTCCCCGCCGCCCTTCTGAGATTTGTCAGTCTTTTCTGTTTCTATGCCTCTGGTTCTATTTTATTCATGAGTTTATTTTGCTCATTAGATTCCAAATGTGAGATCATGTGATATTTGTCTTTCTCAGACTGGCTTATTTTACCTAGCATAATCTCCAGGTCCCTCTGTGCTGTCTCAAAGGGTAAGAGATCTTTCTTTCTTACAGCTGCATAGTACTCCATTGTGTATATGTACCACAGCTTTTTTATCCATTCATCTACTGATGGACACTTGGGCTGTTTCCAGATCTTAGCTATTGTAAATAGTGCTGCTATGAACATAGGAGTACATGTATTCTTTCTGATTGGTGTTTCGGGCTTCTTAGGATGTAGTCCTAGAAGTGAGATGGTGGAGTCAAATGGCAGTTCAATTTTTAATTTTTTGAGAAACCTCCTCTGTCATGTTTTTATAGGCTACACCATGGTTGTGTCTTTGCCAATTGTCTGCTTTTCTACAATGGTTTTTATTGTTATGGGTGGCCAATTCGTTCTCAACAGTGGTCAGCAATAGAGCTACCAACAGGCACACTTCAGCCTCTTTCCTAGACCACCCCGACTCAAAACACTAGCGGTGCTCCCATTTGTTGAAAGTGTTATTTCTCTGAAATGATATTCCTTTTCTAGTGGGACTCTGGAGGGCAGGCCTGGGACCCTTGCTTCCAACATGGGACAAGTTGAGCGTGGTCGTCAGGACGGTGACAGGAGACAAAGTCAGAAGACTGCCTGGGTCTCAGGACAGGGCCTGTGGAGAGGTTGTGTTGTCACCCCCACCCCCACGTGAGAGAAACGGACCTGGGTATTAGATGTGACGTCACGTTGATCAGTGGAGACATGAAATGCCCTGTGGGCGGAGGAACGTGGCTTGGCCGGAGAGAATCTATTTGAATTTATGGAGGTGATGCCTGCACTGGAAGCAGACAGGCTGTGGTCCAGGCGCCATGTCCTGGTCCCGCTGCTGCCCCCGTCCCGTCACTATCAGCAAGACCGTCTGCTGAGACATCAGCCCAGACACAGGCTTCTTCAAGGTCAGGGCCCCTCAGAGCCTGATCACTAGGCACAAACATGGCTGTTACACTTTCTCAGCCACTTTTTGTCAAGTACATTCTTTCATTTTTAGGTACTGCAGGCTTTTGCTCAGGGGTTTAACGGACAGAGTCTGGCCGGGTGGCTGTGTGGCAGCCCGCCCATGCCCCTCGCTGCCCCCCCAGCCCCCTGAGGCGGCAGGGTCCCCGTGGCAGTGGCCCCGACAGCCCCAGCACTCACTGTCGGGCTCCGGGGGGGACCGCGTCAGAATATCCCGCCCAGTCTAAGCCCCACTCTGCCTTCTGTGGGTTCTGGACACGTGACACTCAGTCTTCTCTCATGAAACTTGTTTCTGTGTGTGGCCATGTGAGTAAGAGCGGCAAAGGGCCCGGATGGAATCCAGCTGTCCAGGGACGTGGTTTCACTTTATTTACAATACAGCCACAGCAGCAAACGAGCCAGTGTCTGGGGAGGACACGGGACCGCCACAGCCGCCTGGGACCCCTCAGAGCACCAGCTCCTGCCTCCCTCTGGGAGTAAGACCAGGAAGCAAGAGGAGAGGCCTGTCTGTCCCCCACCTGTCCCCGCTGTACTCCCGACGAGGGCAAGACTCCTGGCCACAGCTTGCAGCCGGAGGTAGAGGGTGCCCCCTTGGAGAAGTGCTCCCAGCCCCTTCACAGAGCATCCTGCTCTTTGGGGGGCTTGCCTTGAGAGGAGGCCTGGGAGAGAACCCCTTTCCTCAAGTCCAACTGGGAACAAGGAAGGCATCAGCACCCTGGGTTGGAGAGCACCATGGATGAAGGCAAGACGGTGATAGGAGTTAACTGGCCTCCCCTTCCCTGTGCCTCCAGGAGGCAGGGAGGAGGGGCCCCTGCCAGAATGCTGGCCTTCCCAACGGGCCTACAGGAAAATCCCGGGGAAAGGAACCTGATTCACTGACTAGTACTGACATCACTTCTTAAGAAATTATCCAGGTCTCGCCCTGGCCGGTTTGGCTCAGCGGTTAGAGCGTCAACCTGCGGTCCTGAGAGACCTGGGTTCAGTTCCCGCTAAGGGCACGTACCTCAGTTGCAGTTTGTCCCCAGCCCTGGTCGGTCGTGCGGGTGGCAGCCACTCGATGTGTCCCTTTCACATCGATGTTTCTCTCTCCCTCCCTCCCACTCTACCTGAACAAAAAATGGGAAGGTGTCCTCGGGTGAGGATTAAAAAAAAAAAAAAAAAAAATTATCCAGGTCTCTGCCATTGACTCCTAACATTCTAGATAATTTCAGGACAGGGAGTAAGGGCTGTGCTGGCCCTCCTGCTAGTCAAGGGGCTTCTCAGGCAGTGACAGCCTCAACGCTGGGTGGCCAGGGTCCTGGGTTTGTACACAGGGACATCCTTGTCCCAGAGTGCAGGCCGCCCCCTGATGATGTCGGCCGCTTTCTCTGCAATCATGATCGTGGGGGCGTTCAGGTTGCCACTGACCACGCTGGGCATGATGGATGCATCCACCACCCTCAGGTGTTCTACCCCAATCACCCTGGTCTGTGGGTCCACCACGGCCATGGGATCGGAGGGCTGGCCCATTTTACAGGTGCACGAGGGGTGGTAGGCACTGTCCGATTTCGCCCGTACAAAGGCGTCTATCTCTTTGTCTGACTGCACGTGGCTTCCTGGCTGGAGCTCTTTCCCCCGGAACGGCGCCAGGGCTTCCTGTGCAAAAATTTCCCTGGTCAGCTTCACGCATCTGCGGAAGTCGTCAACGTCGGCTTCTGTCAAGGGGAAGAAACAGGTGAGCCTCCTCTTACCACACTGGCCTTGCTGGAAGATCCCGGGCGGGAGACAGGCCAGGACATGGAGGGCCAAGCCACCAGGCAGCTTGTCACCTGCCTACAGGCGGGCACACCGCAACCAAGCCGAGCCCCCAGGTTTAAACTGGGGATCTGAGTTTTCGTGTCTGTAATTAGGACTACAAATACATGTCTCTGCCCCCGTGCGGCTGCGAGGGCCCCACAAGTGTTTACGGGGCAAAACCTGCCCGAGGGGTGTGCTCCTGTTTGCTGCAGGCCCAGGAATCTACTTTGCTTTTAAAGGATGCTCACAGCAATAGCAGGAGACGTGCTGTGTGTGTCCACAGCCAGGTGACCCTGAACCTCCCGGTGCCTCAGGGCACACACAGCAGCAGGTGCAACTTTACAGCCTGGAATGACGGGGCGAAGGGAGGACAGAGAGTGACTCATGTGTCAGAAAATGAGGTTCAGGGACAACTGTGACTGAATGACTGTCTTTATGGGGTTCAATGACCCTTAAGCCCAGGCAAAGGTGGCTGGTGAATTACCTGTTGACAAGTAGTTGGGTTGCAGCACAGGGTGGTCCTGGGGGTTGGCACTCCTCAGTTTGAGCCAGCCCACACTCGTGGCCCGCATGGTCCCCACGTGCACCTAGATGAATCCGGAGGGAGCAGTCACTTCCATCAGTCCCCTAACTCGGTTTAGAGAGCTCCCAGGTTCCTGTGGGTGGGACTCCATATCCCAAGTCAATTATTAGCATTTGCCTGCATCCCACCCCACCCCCTTCCACAGGTGATTAAAAACCACCTCAGTGAATCCTAAAACTTGCAGGAGCTGGCAAACTCTGGGCAGAGTAGGTGCCATGGGTTCGTTTCCAGAGCTCAGTACCCAGAGCATCTGCCCCGAGCCAGGCACAGGCCTCACCTTTCTGTGCGGACGTACTGGGCAGCTGCAGTGGGGACGAGGGGACTCGCTGCTCACCTGGTAAGCCTCCTGCTGGGTGGGGGCACGCCCGTGGTCGATCACTTGGGATGGCAGGAAGTGGAACTGGATATCTGGGTGGGGGACCCCAGGCTGGCTCCGGATGAACCCACCTGTTTCCAGGTGGGCCGTGGCTCCATCCCCTGGGGTTGCGAGAGGGGTAAATTAAGGCAGGTGGGCTCACCCAGCACTACAGCTTTCAATTTCAGCTACCTGTTGAGTCTTCAGCTTTGCTGCTTGGCTGAGGTCCCACGGGCATCCCTTACCTGGTCCAGCCTGTACTCCTTTGAGCCTCCACTTGTGACCATTCCTTACGCAAGACTAAAGGCAGAAACTCAAGCTGCCCCTGCCTCCTCCATCAACTTGGCATTGCTGCCCAGGTCACCCCCCTCAGTGCCTCCTGCAGCCCGCCCTTCTTCACACAGCCAAGCTCCTGATCGAGCCCTCTGCCTCCTCCTCCACGTGCTACAGTCTCCCTGGCCCCACTAACAGATGCCTAATCCAGGAGCCTTTGCACACGCTCTTCCTGCCTTTCAGATCCCCTGCCACGGCGCTCCAATTTAATTACTTAACACCTGGCCAGTGTTGCTCAGGGATTAGAGCAGCCTGCACACCAAAGGGTCACAGGTTCAATCCCTGGCCCAGGCTGGGGTGCATGTGGAAGGCAACCGATCGATGTGTCTCTCCCCCTCAACCCCTCCACTCTCTAAAAATCAACAGGAAAAAATACCCTTGGGTAATGATTAACAAAAATAATTAACAACCTGGTCTTTCTTTCACAGTACTTAAAATTGAGCATGTTTACCTGGTTCTTGCCATTGCCCCCACGAGAGGGTAAACTGCCCCAGGACGTCTGCCTTCCCGGGACTTCTCACCAGCCAGCACTCAGAGCACAGTAGGTGTGCAAGGAACGCATGCCGCGTGAATGACAAGGGTTTCAAAGCACCGTTTCCCAGCCCAACTCAGTACTGAGACATGGATGCTGATGCTACGGTCCAGCACAAGGCCATCCCCACCCATCCGCAAGGAGGAACTGTGCACCCCATTTTGCAGATGGGAGAGCTGAGGTAAATGGCAGAGCTCAGCTTCACACCAACAATCTGGGGCCAGAGCGCTTGCTCAGCACCTCAGGATGCACACAGACCAGCTCGCCAAGGTCATGGGTGAGCACACCCACCTGTGAACTTCCAGAGCCACTCCAGACCAATCTGGACCTTCCTCAGGGGCTTCTGTGCTGAGTGGAGGGTGATGGGACGGGTGCATGCCTGCTGGATGTATATTTCCAGGTGGTCTTGCAGGTTCTGGCCGACTCCTGAAATAGGAGGGAGTGGGGAGTAAACAGGGCTACCGAGGGGGGCTCAGCTGACCTCTCAACATCCCCCTGGTTTGGAAAATGTCTCCCCTATCCACTTAGCTGCCAGGCCACAACTTGGAAGTCACCTCCCAGGGACGCACCTGTAATCATCCAGTCGCCTTCCTGCCGAGCAGGACCCTCCATGAGGGCAGAGCGCATGTGTGCAGCAGGTACTGCTCAGTAAGCTGTCACCGAATGGCTGACAGCCAGATGGACCCGAGCCCCACCCTCACCCCTGGCCTGGGGAAGAAGGCCCCATCGTGCTGTGCAGACCCTGTGTGAGCTCATCCAAGCTCAAAGGGATGCTGAGCAGGTCACTGTCATGGCCCCGCACAGACCTCCTATGATGAAGCCTCAGTGCAAAACGGCCTGGGTTGTAGAGAGGACAAAAGGGACAGGCATCAAAGACAGTTTATAAAATAAATTCTAGGCCTGTGAGGCATGAGGGACCTTCAGGCTCATGAGAGAAATGCGACAGTCCTGAGGAGCACCGATCCTGTCCCCTCCCCACTCCATGCTGATAAAATACAATAAACCATTGTATTTGCAGAGACACCCTCTGGGAGCAGTGGGGAAGGGAACTCACCTGGAAGGTGGCACACCACGGGGATGCCCAGTTTCTTGAGGTCATCTGCATTGCCGACCCCCGAGAGCATGAGCAGCTGCGGAGAGTTGATGGCCCCTCCGCTCAGAATCACCTCGTCGCTGGCATAAGCCTGGAAGGGGCAGAGGGCCGACAGGTCACACCTCCCCTCCCCAAATGGCAGGCAGAACCCTGAGCAGGGCCTCGGCGTGACGCACCCAAGGGGGAAGAGGACGGCTGCTGTGTGGAAGCTACCCCCGCGTTCGGCTACGGTGTGCGACCACAGATAAATCATGGTGTGCGCGCTGAACTGTTCTGCACGGTCTGATAGTAACGACGGTCCTAAAAACAGGACTGTGGAATGAGCAGTTTATAACGCGGGCAGTGACCAGATCTTCACGGGGGACACACAACAGTCCTGACACTAAGTGGAAAACAGCACAGTGCAGAAATGCGGAGTCGGACCACAGTTTGCTTCGTAAAACCAATCAACTTCTGAAAAGGTGTGGAGGGCACCAGGGGACAGCTCTGAGGTGGGGCGGCAGACAGAGGCTCACAGGGGCACTTACTCCAGGGCACACCAGGCCCTTTGCCCCGCCACCAGCTGCCCCCTCCTCACAGCGCTGATGGAGACAAGAGCGTGGGCACTCCTGTCCACTCCTTCCCTCCCTCCCTGAGCGCCCAGGCCGGGAGGAGGGCTCACCCTGCGGCTCTGGCCGTCCTTGATGTACTCCACGCCCACGGCGCGGGTGCCTTCAAACAGCACCCTGCTCACGAAGGTCCGGGCCTCGGCGGTGAGGTTGGGGCGGCTCAGGGCCGGGTGCAGGTACGCACAGGCCGCGCTCCAGCGCTTGCCTGCAGGACAGAGCAAGGGTTTCAGACGCAGCCCTGGCCCTGGCCCTGCCCCTGCCCCCAGGCACCTGTAGGGGGACAGGGCTGGAGAAAGGGGGGGATTTGTCCTTCCCCTGGCCATGCAAGTTCTGCCTTCCAAGTAAGGCTGAAACCAAAAGACTCTGTCCAATAGAAATCCACATCTACCTGGGGCCTCCTTGGTGTTCCGTGCCTCCGTTTCCCCATCTGTAAGTCTCTAGAGTTGCTTGGCCAGAGAACCAACTCTCCATTATCCACACCCTCAGGGGCCAGACACCCAGAGAATGCCCAAGGTGTCACCATCCCCCGGGCATTTCTGATGGACTGGGGTTGTGTTTCGTGGCATGTAGGGGATACAGTATGTCACATCCTCTCCACCTCATGTCAGCCCCAGTTTGTCCACACTTACGGACCATGGTGGGAGCAGGAGGGGTGGGGCTGTAACAGCAAATTTTGTTTCTTAGAGAGAACCAGGAGATGGGCACTACATGCTACCTTTGTGGATGGTCATGTCCATCCAGCCGAAGCCTTCCTGCTGGAAGCCATTCATGTCCTCGGTGAGGGGGTAGCCGGCCTGCTGTGCTGCCTCCAAAAATGCCCGGTGCAGCGGGTGGTTGGTCTTGCCCCGCGACACGTGCAGGGGGCCGTCCCCGCCGCGGTACCGGCTGGCGCCCAGCTCGTGGCTCTGCGCCTTGCGGAAGTAGGGCAGGCAGTGCGCGTAGTCCCAGCCCGAGGCGCCCTGTCGGTGCCAGCGGTCGTAGTCCTCGGCGTGGCCGCGGATGTAGACCATGGCGTTGAGGGACGAGGAGCCTCCCCACACCCGGCCACGCGGCCAGTACAGCACACGGCCGTCCATGCCTGCTTGCGGCTCGGTGTGGTAGTACCAGTTGTACCTGTCATCGCACAGGTTGGCCACGAGGGCCGCGGGCATGTGGATCTTCCACAGAAGCCGCTTGCTCCCTGCATACGTGTCCTTGGGCCCGGCCTCCAGCAGCAGCACGTGCTTCTCGGGGTCCTCGGTGAGCCGTCCGGCCAGCACACAGCCCGCGGAGCCCGCACCCACCACCACGTGACTGTATTCGTCCCCGCTCCCGGAGGCCGCAGCTCGGATGCCTGGGGGCCACTGCCGCCCCTGAACCCCCCAGGGCCTCAGGTGCCCTCGCCTCCAGCCTCGCAGGACACACCACATGCTTGCGGCCCAAGTCCTTCGGATCCACGGAGGGGAATGTGATGGTGCACTTTTCCTAAAACAGGAAAACAGGCCTTAAATGTTTAAACTCAGGCACAGGCGGAATCAGCCCAACGCTGGGCAGCCACGGGTGCAGCCAAGATCCTCTGCCCAGGGCTGGGAGGGACAGCCTGGCCAGCATGTCCCTGCCCTGGGGACCTACAGGAGGGAGCAGAGGGCCACGCAGCTCTATCAGTGCTGCAAGAGCTGTGCTAGGGCTGGGCCCAGGAGAGAGGCCCCTCCCCAAACTTGGGGGTCCCCTGAAAGGCTTCTCGGTGACACCTGTGTATGGACCTGTAGGCTGGGCCGGAGTCCATCTGGAGAAAGCAGGGGCTACGGGCTTTCCAGGCTGGCACTCATTCCGCATCCACTCGGGACAGTTCCCGAGCCCTACCGATGGGCGGGGCCAGGGAGACAGATAAGACTGAATAAGGGACTGATGGAAGGTCAGGGTGAGAGACCCGGAGCCACAGCAGCACCAGCCGGCTCTGCAGCAGGGGCGGGGTCAGAGCTACAATTTTCAAAGATCCCTCTGTAGAGTGCTCAGGTTCTAACAAAGAAATGCCAGTAGCTTTCACAGGGTCCTTTCCTAACATTGTTCAAATCTATCCCAACATGCTCAGTGCAGAGAGGTGGGAAAGAATCAGGGTATCCCGTCAAGAACTCTGACACGAGAACAACTGAGAAAGCCCCACCCTTGAGGCTAAGGCTGCAACAAGAGAGCTGAAAACCCCCTCCGTGAGCCTGCACCAAGTAACAGCAGCGGCCTACCACTGGAGGCTCACCAGGAGGTAACGGTGCAGGGGAAGAGCCTGCCCCACCCCCGCCCCATCCATACAGGCAGAGGAGAGGAGGCACCAGGGCCACCTGAAAACTACGTCTGAAGCAGGGACACTGAAAAGAACCTTCCAGCACTCCAGGCCCCATACTAGCCCAAGGTGGCAGCAGCTCAACTTCCCCCTTGGTAAACTCCACACGAACAACTTGATACTATAAAGGGTATGCCTTTTCCAGGCATAAGTACCATCTACCTCAGTCACGACTATCCTGTTACACACAAGGTCCAGCATTCAATAAAAATTAAGAGACACACAAAGTTAAAAAAAAAAAAAAGACTAATTATCAAGAGATAAAATTGTTAACAGAACCAGACCAAGCGATGGCCCACCAAGTTAAACATTTTAAAAGATTTTGTTGAAAAGGTGGACAATGTCTTAGGCATTTTCAGTAATAAGTTTAAAACTATAAAACAAAGGGATGGACAGAAATGCTAAAAATGAAAACATTGAAGATGAATAATTTGACTGGATACAGCAGAGAATAAAGTAAGTGAAACTGGAAATTAGGTAGCTAGAAATTATGAAATTGGAAGGAGTGAAGGAGAAAAGAAGAGAGAATAGAACAACTACCTCAAATATACAAAGCTGGAGTCCCAGGAGGAGAGGAGTAAAGAGAAAGGATAGAGAGGCAGAGAGGAGGACAGTGAGAACAGGAGAGAGAAAATATCTGAAGAGAGAATTGCTGATAAAAACACCACAGATTCAAGAAGCTTAGAGTATTCCAAGGAGGATTAATACAAAGAAAACACATCTAGGTACGTCATATTCAAATTGCTAAACTCCCACGAGAACAATCAATCAAGGCAGCCAGCCAAAAGAAGAAACATTATGTACAGAAGCATAAGTATAAGGGTGACAGCAAACTCATCAAAAACATGCAATCCAGAAGACAATGCAGTGACTTTAAAGTACTTGAAGGGGGAAAACACCAAACGGTTAACTTAGACCTCTACACCCAACTATGAAGAGCAATAAAGACATCTTCAGAGAAACAAAAGCCGAGAGAATTCATTGCTGGTGGATCTGCACAGGAAGATATGTTAAAGGAAGTTCTTCAGGCAAGCCGAGTATACTACCAGATGGAAATTTCACCCTATACAAAGAAATAAAGAGCAATGGAAATGGTAAAAATTGTGGGTGTATTAGTTTCTTGTGGCTGCTATAACAACTTACCATACACTTGGTGGCTTAAAACAACACAAATGTATACTCTTATAGTTCTAGAGGCCAAAGTCTAAAATCAGTTTCCCAGTGCTAAAGTCAAAGCGTCGGCAGGGCAGGTTCCTTCTAGAAACTCCCCAAAGGAGAATCCATTTCCTTGCCTTTTCTAGATTCTGGGGCCACCTGCATTATCGGTCGTTAGTGACCTTTCCTTGCATCACTCTAACCTCTTGCTTTTGTCACCGCATCTACTTCTGCAGTAGTCTCTTCCTCTTATTAGGACACTGGTTCCATCACTGAAACCACCTGGATAATCCCTCAATCTCAAAATTCCTAATCTCGTCTGCAAAGTCTCTTTGTGAAGGTAACATTCACAAGCTCTAGGTGGGGGCATTGGTGATCCTACCATATGGTACATTTTTAGGTAAATATGATACATTTTTCCCTTAATTTTAATCTGTTTAGAATATAACTAAAGTAAAAGGTGTAAAATATAGGGTTTATAATATATGTAGCATTAAAATGTACATAACAATAGCACAAAGGATGAGAGGAGGAGAAACAGTATACTGTAATAAGGTTTTTATACCATATATGAAGTGGTATAATATTTGAAGGTAGGCTGGGATTAATATTTTATATATGATGCTATCACAACTACTCAAAAACAAAGAATTGTAGCTAATAAGTCAATAGTGGAGAAAAATAATATAAAGTAATTAAAAATGGTAAAAGAGATCCAAGATGGTGGCAGAGTAAGTAGAAGTCACACTCATCTCCTCCTAGGACCAAACTGGAATTACAAACAGAATAAGCAACTGAAGACTAGCTGAACAGAAGCCTTATAACCAAGGATTTACAGAAGCCGCCACATCGGGACTGGTAGGAAGAGCAGAGATGAGGAAAGGGCTGGCCCCAAACCCACGTGTGGCAGCTGACATCTGGAGGGTATCTTAGCTCATCCCCCTGATGGGCTCCAAGCCTAGAGCACCAGAGCCAGGAAAAGGAGCCCACATAACATCTGACTGTGAAAATCAGTGGGTATTCTGTCCTAGGCATGGGGTATAGAGGTCCTGGCAGACTCGGGGGTGTCAGAGACCAAGATGTGTGGCTCTGGGATGGGGGCCATTCTCCCCCTTCTCACAAGCCTGATCGGCACTACCCCTCCTACAGGATATCCACTGGCCCCACCCTCCCAACTCCCAGCAGCCCTGCCAAGCTAGGGCTGTAGAGGAGATTCACCCCAGAATCGGGGACAGATTGAGCTGTCCCATTTTCCCTTTGCACACCAGACTGGTGCCACCATTCCTGTGCAGAGCCCCACCTTAACACGGCCTAATCTTGGTCTGTTTGGGCCTAACAAACCCCTGTGACCCTGTCCCACCACAAAGGTCTGCAGGCACCTCGCAGATGGGGGATGATGGCTGGCCTTGGTGTACCCTGGGACTTCTGCTGAGTGGCCTCAGACCCAGCACTGGCATCAAATTCGAATCTGTATCAGTCTGGGAAACACCTCTTGCCTCTACCTGGTGACTCACTGAGAACCTACCTCACAGATACCACCAGCGGCTCTTTCAGTGGGAACCTAACAAGCAGGGAGTAGGTGGAAGAGGGTCAGAGTGCCCTGGGGCCTTTGCTAGCCTGTCCCCAGGCGCGGTGCTGGAGGAAGCCAGTGCTGGTGTGTACCTTGGCCTTCCCCATGCACACCCAGACCCAGCAGAGGCAGCCACAAACTCTGGATCCCTTTGTAGCTCCAAACAGGTAGCCCAGGGACCTGTGCCAAAATCCCTCCCAAGAAGCCCCAGAAACAACACTGGTGGGCTTCAGACCACATCAAAGCATGACCCAGTCAGCTCCACAAGTGGCACATCCAAAGGGAGATCTTGGCAGGCACCAGACCCTGCTGGGGTGAATTTCACTTCGTGTTGTCAGCACCCATATAGCAGCTTGAATGTTGTGGTTGAGGTCAAGCCTCACAGTCAGCCAGCCTGAGGGTTGACCCCACTCACAGAGAGGACAACAGAAATCAAGACTCAACTACAACAGGAGGGCTCACATAACCCACACAAGACACAGTCTTTGCTCGTGTGATAAGGGAGACTTGTGGCTGACCTCTAAGGAAACCTACTATATAAGGACACCATACTAAGACTGGGAGACCCAGCAGGTCTACCTAATACACAGAATCAAATACAGAGAGGCAGCCAAAATGAGGAAACAAAAAAAACACGCCCTGAATGAAAGAACAAGAGAAATCTCCAGGAAAAGAAAGAAATGAAATGGAGGCAAGTTATAAGATACAGAGTTCAAAACAATGGTTATAAGGATGCTCAAAGAACTTAGGGGAAGAATGGATGAACTCAGTGAGAACTTAAAGAAATAGTAAGCATAAAAGAAGACACAGAAATCATAAAAAAGAACCAGTCAGAAATGAAAAACACAATATCTAAAAAGACTATACTAGAAGGAATCAACAGTAGTTAAATTAAGCAGAGGTTCAAATCAGTGATTTGAAAAACAAGGTACTAGAAAACACCCAAACAGAGAAGCAGGAAAAAAAAAAAAAATGAGATGGTTATAAATAAATATACTAGAGGTGTCTAGGGGAGGGAAGAAGAAACATCTGTACTAAATTACATTTAAAAAAATAAATATATTAGTAAGTTAAAAAAAGTCTATCATATTTTATGAGGTCTTCTGGGGCATGCATTTTTTTTTTTTTCATTCAACATGATGCTATTTAGATTAATGCATGTGAAAGAGTATCCCTGTAGCTCTTTTGTTTTCATGCTGTAGATCATTCCATTTATGAGTATAGTATACTTTATTTCTGTGTTCCCCTTTCAATGGATATTTAGATTGTTTCAAGTTGTTCTCTACTTTGATAAGTTCGATTATGATTAGTTTTTGTATATGTGTTCCCTGGTATACATGTACTAAATTTCCTCTTGGGTATATATTTACAGAAATTGGGTATATACCTAATAGATTTTCTGGGTATGCAAGCATTCAACTT